GCTGCAAGAAAAGTGAGATTTAGTTTTGAAACACGGCCAGTAAAATGGAGGTAAAAACATGCCAAAAGTGGCATAAAAATTATATGAAGATAATGTGGGGTGGAAGAGTGGAGATGACCTGTCTAAGCAGAGAAACCTAATAAAAGGACCTACGCTCAGCTGCACCGCCTGGATACATCACAGGCCACTGGTGAACCTGCCCCGATATGAGAAAGCATCTCTGGCCATGCGCAGAGTGCCTTTTGCATCTTCCCGATTCTAAAAGGCTGAAATGTTTCTAAAGTTCAGTTATGGGTAGTGAGGAGTTCTAGGGGGGAAATCCAGAGATATTTTAGGGCCTGCTCATGCTACCCTGAGTTTCTCCCTAACTGAAGCGGCCCTTGGCCCACAGGATGGCTCTGCTCAAGGCCACAATCCCCACCCCTGTTTAGGCAGAAAAACGGCAAGCAGGTCTTCGCCAAGGCTTAGACAATCAGAAAACATTTCCATCTGGGCTAAGAAAAGAAGCAGAAACTTTTGTCGAATTCATTTCTTTTACTGTTGGTTTCTATTTGTGCCAAACTCTAAGAAAACTGACCGCCAGAGCACAGTATGAGGTGGTGCTGGAAAAGCCCTCGAGTCAATGCAAGCGATCTGTCTGGGTTTAGCAGCAATAAAGAATAATACAGTAAAAATAAAGTGCATTCGTTTCAACTTTACAAAGAAGAAAAAGAACAATGAACTCTTTGTTCTGCAGCTCTGACGGTCTTGCTACCCAAAGCCAGAGTCAACAGCTGACTTGTCGCACCAGCTGAGAAAGTTAGCCAAATTGGGTTTTAAGAACTGAATGCCTTATTGATCGGGTTGAACTAAAAATTTGCCCGGAGGATTAATGGAGCTGGGGACCTCAGCGTGGGGGGGGGGGGCTTTAAACGACACCCGTTTCACCTTGTGTTTTCACCTGTGCACCTCTGCTGTCGAAGGGCCAGTTTGGAATGGGAAAAGCGGCACCTGAGCTGGGTCGGGGACAGACGCACGTGCAAACGCCGGACGCAAACTGTGCACAGCAGATACAGATCGCAGCGCCACGTTCCCCATCGCAACACGACACGCTACCGATGTGTATTTGCAAAGCGTGTCCTGTCCGAGTGTCTCCGGAATAGCGGGGTTTCTTGTTTGGAGCGGGTGCCGCGGGTGTGATGGGGAGCTGTGTTTCTCTGGTTTGTGTACACACACACACACACGGGGGGGGGGGGGAAATGTTAAATGGAGGTGGGGGTACAAGCCCAAATCAGCCACCTTCCCTTGTTTTGTGCTGAAATGCCTTCAGCCTATGTATGAAAATGACCGGGAAGCCATCGAAAGACCACAGTGTGCAGGAGTAAAAAGGAATGGTTTTTTCGAGGATCTGGAACAAGGATATTTAAGGTGTAGGGTGGAAAAGGAGCATTTTGTAGGGGGGGAAACAGAAAGGACTCGACTTCCCAAACAATCAACAGTAGACCCACACTAGCTCAGGAACTTAATAAAGATTCCCAGAGGTCACACTCTGGCCCCTTTTTTCTGGGCTGGGGGCATTTCAACCCTGCACTTTGCGATTCGCGGGTCCGTTCTCAGCAAATTCATCTGTGCTTACATTCGTTTCACTAACTTCATGAGGACTGGAAGCTGAATCCCACCCACCCGCCTAGTATGGGGAGGCTGCTAAATCTTGTCCACATTTCAGCCTCATCTGGGTGGTTTGCCAAGACCAGATGGGCAAACAGAAGCGCTTCACGGCTACCAGCAACGGTCCTTTCCCACCTAGCCAGACACACCTCACTAAACAAACAAACCAAATTTGGTTGCACAAACAGGACACCTTTGATGTCACCTGAATGCGCAAGAAACCCAACGTCCCCTCTGAAAAAAACAGAATTTCCCATCAGGGGAATAATTCTGTTTGCAATCCGTCTAGACTGCGCATGGCTTTCTTACGGGAGAGAAAGATCATGCCGTGGAGAGAACAATTGCCTCCTGCAGACAAAGGACATAACCTACCCTAAATTAATCACTTTTATCCCATTTTGATTCAGAAAAGGAGAGTTCTGGTTATGGGCATGCCTGCAAGGCAGACTTGAAAACCTGCTTTTTCTTTGGCTGGACAATATGCTTACTTCCCTCCCGGCAGTAGTGCCCAGGCCAGTGCCTTGGACTACAGCGCCCATAGTCCCCAACCACTGGCCATGCAGGGGACGCATCTGGAAAGCTCCAGGTAGGGAAAAGCTACCTTCTGGAATATAAGACGATTCCTCCCACCTTTTAAAAAACAAATCAGTGGACATTCATTCATTCATTAAGACTGATTAGACACCAAACCCGCCCGAAAGGGGATTTCTCAATCTTGACATTTCATCGTGGGCTAAAAAGAGAGCGTGGCGGAGAACACCTGCCTGTTCGAAAGGCGGACAGGCAGGCGCGCCTCCAGCTAAACTCGTTGCTCAAGGATCACCCGTGGGGGGCGGCGTCGGAGGGGGGTGTTGGAGGGACCGGGATCGTGCAGAGCGGAGGCATGGTGGGGAATCCCTCGGCCCCAGGGCGGGAAGGGGGCCTGGGAATGCGGGGGCTTCCCAGGAGTCCCCGCCACCTGGAGCTCTTCTCGCGAGCAGAGGTACGTGAAGCGCCGTCGCCCGCCTTCGCCGTCTTATCTGCTCTGCTCCAAGTACTGGTTCGTGAACATGTTCAGCTCGCTGTCCAACCAGCCCGCTTTATTCCTGGATTGGGGGGGGGGGGGGGGGTCGGTTCATCAAAAGACAGAGCAGGGCCGATGTAAGCGAGGCAGTGAGGTCCGTCGGGATGAACTGGGTTTTTTCACCTTTCCCCATACATCCAGTGACAGGCGGATGCCCCAGAACAAGGACCGCGTTCAAACGACATGACTACGTCGCACCTGAGGGTTAGGTCTGGGCTGCCATTGAAGCAACGCATGAGGAGGACCCATGGCCAGGACTGGGGGGAAGGAGGGGCCGTGGGAGAGGAATTGCAGCCCAAACCACCTGCAAGACACCCGGATGACAACAGGCCAGGGCGTCTTTCAGAGTACAGTAACCACGACGTCTTTCAGAGAACTGGACAAGGGGGTGCAAGCCGCCCATGGGCCGCATGGCACCCCAGAAAAGCTCTTGGGGGAGCATGGCAGCGGCGACGGCCAAGGGGAGGGCCCAAAACACCCACATTATGAAGAGCGCTGGGCTTCCAGCTCTCGGTGCAGAAGCCGGGCTCTGGGAAGGCACGCACCTGAGGAGCTTGGCTTTGCTCTGCAGCGTGTCGAGGACTTCGATTTTCTGATTCAGGGCACCGATTTCCTTCTCAAGCTCCGCTCTGGTGACATCGACCTGCTGGCAGAGCTGCGCAAAGGTTCCGGCGAGCTCTCTAAAGCAAGGGCGAGGAGGACACGAAGAAAACGTCAGGAACGGAAGATCGGGGTGGCAGGGGGAGAGCGGAGAGCGCAAGACAAGGAACAAGGAAGGGCACCGCTTTCAAATGTACGGATCTTCTCTGATTCATCAAATAATGCAGAGCAGAAAGTGCAACATTTCTTAAGGCGGACGCAAGCAACCAGCAACACACAGATCAAAACCAGCAACTGGCTTGTGCCTCACAGAGGCGCTCCGAAACCTGAAGGGGAGCTTTTTCAGTCCGAGCCATTCCCGGAAAGTAAATCCAGTGCTTCCCAAGGGCAGATCTGGAGCTTTTCGTCCGTGCTCAAAGCTCCCAGTTCTGCACCACAAATGCCCCGACTTCCAGCCACTGCCTCCACTTAGCTCCCTGCATGCCCTCAACACCGAGGAGCAGTTGGCACGCTGGAAGCAGAGTCCTGTGTAACCTTGCACCTTGCTTGCAAAATCTGTGTTCATGATTTTTTTTTCCAGTCCAAAAAAAGGCCCTTTTATAGCCGCATCCCCAAGAAACACAATACCCTGCAAAGCAACGTTGGCTTTTCCAGCTAGCGGGATTGCCCCAAATACCCTGAGCGCTGGAATGTTTGTGAACGTTCCGTGACAAGCACCTGCAGGAGCTGGGATGTTCACAAACATTCTGGAAAAATGGGACAGGCCTGGCAACGGAGGAAGGTGTCTTCAGGATCCTTCCAGATCAGAAGTTCCCGAGAGCCGCCAAGCCCATACGGGTTGGAGAGCAGTGTGGAAGCCGGCCTTGCAGACCCCGCTCGTTCCCGCTGACGCAAAGCCAGTGTGGTGTCGTGGTGAAGAGCGCGGGACTGGGACTCAGGCGATCCGGGTTCGAGTCCCCGCTCGGCCATGGAGCCAACTGGGGGACTTTGGGCCAGTCAGACTCTCGGCCCAACCTACCTCACAGGGTCGTTGTTGTGGGGAGAAGATGGAGGAGGAGAATGATGCAAGCTGCCTTGGGCCCTCTGGGGAAAAAGGCAGGATATAAATCGGGGCAGGGGGGGAAACCCAGAGCGGAGCCCGACTCACTGCTGGACTTGGTGGCTGCAGTTGGAGCCCGTGTAGCTGACGATCAGCTGCAGCTTCTCGCTGGCGTACTCCACGAACTGGCGCTTGAAGGCCCGCTCTTTGGCCTTGGTGGTCCAGGTGAGGCGCTCGTAGACGTAAAGGAGGCCGTAGAGGCCAAAGGAGAGGGCGATCAGCCTCCAGCCGACAGCTTTCCAGACCTGGAAAATCCGGGAATGCGGGGAAGGAGGGAGACGAGTGCTCGGCATCGTTTGGGAAGGCGGGCCTGGTGCTGGGGCTGCACAGTCCTTCCTCGCCTCTTACTGGCTGAACATATTGCCAAGGCATGCGCGCGCACACGCCAACGGCTCGGAGCGCGCACACGGAGCCCGGGAGCCGCTCGAGAGGGGACTGAGACCGTTTTGAGCCAGTCGCACTTCGCTCCGTGCATTATCTTTCTGCACAGTGGAATTCACCTCCCCAAGATCTCGTGACGGCTCCCGATTTAAAAGGGGGCAGGAGAAATTCTTGGAGGAGACGGACATGCCAGGGTGCTAGGCCTCATGATCACGGGCTATGTCCAGGTGTCAGAGGCAGCGCTACTACAGACACCGATGACTGGGGAGCACGGGCACGGGGGCCACTCAGGCTCCCTGCCCCCTTGAAGGCTCCTATGGGGCATCTGACGGCCTCTGCACAAACAGAATGCTGGGCTGGATGGACCCCAGGGCCTGCTCCAGCGTCCGGGCCCCTCATGTGGACTAGCATCAGTGCCCTGGTTTTAGAAGGAAGGGCTCTTCAGCAGCACCAGGAGGGGAAAAAGAGCAGGACCGTTCTGCACCGCCCTCGGGGGGTTTCGGAGCCCCCCACCCCCCACCGCCGGGCCTACCACTCCGCCGACCACGAGGATGCCCATGGACGTCCTGGAGGTGAGGGAGGCCAGGCCGGTCACCATGGAGACCATCAGCTCCTCCTGCGTCAGGGACCCCTGGGGCAGCGGGGGCAGGCTCGGGTTCGCCGGCGTCAGGGGCAGCGGGCGCGGGACCTGGGCACGGGGAGTCCTCCGGGTCAGGGGCGGCCCTGCGTGCCCCGCCATCCTTCCCCACCGAGCGGCTCCGGCCACCCCGGCGGCAGGACCCCGGGTTGGGCCCAGGAACACATGGTGGGGAACGAGCTCACCCAGGAGCCTCCCGGGCTCCCCCCCACCCTGCAAGTGTCCCGCACGGCCCCTCCCTGCGCTCGGAAGGGTGAAACGCCTCCCGGGGCACTTCGGGAGGGCCGAGGGCCCCCCACGTCATGGCCCCGCCCCTGTGCCACAGGCCCCTCCCACCGGACGGCGGCCCCCGAGAGCGAGAGGCGGCCCGCGGGCCGGAGGAGGCTCCGCACCCCGACCCGGCACGGCGGGCACGGCGCCCTCCCGCCCCGCGCCCCCCGCCCGGGCCCCCACCTGGTCGCCACAGCCCATCAGGGCCCGCCGGGTGCTCTTGGGGCCCAGGAAGCGGTTCACCAGCATCGTCCAGCCCAGGGAGAAGTGGAACTGGATGTCCTCCTGGAAGTCAGCACACAGCCGGTCGCAGTTCAGGTCGTAGCTGAGCGAGAAGCGCTGCCGCGGGAGCAGCAGGTCGATCTGGGCGCGCAGCGGGGCCGGCAGCAGCGGCTTCAGCCCGTCTGCAAGGAAAGCCGCGGGGCCGGTCGGCGGGGCAGGGCAGGGCGGTGCTGCCGAGCCCGGGGCCCTCCCGCCCCCGGTCCCCCCGCCCCAGAGGGGGCCCCCCACCCGGCTCACCGATCATCTCCTGCTGCGTGGCCTGCAGCGAGGCCGTGATGGCGCTGGAGCAGCGCTCCGACATGTTCCGCCCCAGGCCCTCCTCGACGTGCCGGTGCAGCTCCTGCAAGAGGCACGCGCTCAGGCCGGCTCCGGGCTGCCCTGCCCGCTCGGGGGGCCGCAGAAGGGCGGGCGACGGGCAGCAGGGTGAAGACCCGACTGGGAGGCCAACATCTCAGCTCGGACGTGCCAAGAACACGGAGTTTGGGCTTGGTGGTCGTTAGCGGAACGTACGAGTATCTCCACACAAAGCCGAGGCTTTAGGGCTGAGGTTTCCACTTTCTCCCAAGGACCAGGCAAGGTTCTAGTCCTCAAGGTCGTGACGGAAGGGCCGATTCAAACACTAGAGCCGCTCAAGCCCAGTAGTGCCAACTCTGACTGGCTGCGGCTGCTTTCCCGGGTTTCGGGAGGGGGGTCTTTCCCAGCCAGCCTGGCGAGGGAGGCCCGGTTCCAGGCCCCGTTTGGCTGGGCCACTGCCTCCCAGCCTCGCTGCCTCATAGCACCACTGCAAGGCTGAAACGGAGAAGAGCCAAGCAAGCCGCCCCCGGTTCCTGGCGAAGGGGAGAGAGGCCGGACACAAGTGCAGAGTTTTAAGTTATTCTGGGGGAAGCGGGCAAGGCAGTTCCCAGCACGACTCACGTTCTTGTAAACTTTGATGACCACTTGTGACGGGTGGAAGTCGAGCTGGAAATCTTCCACCAACACGGAGAGGCGCCGGATTTCTTCGGCCATGGCGTGCGACACCTGGAATTCAAGGCAGGCGTGAGGCAGGCCGGGGCGGGGGGCCCGTGCCCCCTCTCTGCACGAGGAAGGGCGGGACGGAGGCGGCGTGGATGCAGGCACCCGGGGGGACACGTGCCGGCGGACGGAGCCCAGACGGGGCCACTGCGGAGGAGGCCCTGCGGTGCCCACAGCCCCCACTGGCCCCAAGGCTGGTGGGCGCTTCTGCCCTGGACCCCCGACGGAAAGCTGGCCGTGGGGCTGCAGGGCCCCGGGAGGCCGCCCCTCACCTGCCGCTCCACCTCCTCCGTGATCTCCTTGATCTTCAGCTTGTAGTTGTGCGTGAGCAGGTCCAGCTGCTTGTCGATGAAGCCCAGCCGCTCCTGCCGCTCCTCCTGCATCTCGAGGCAGTAGACCCTGTGGAGAAAAGGGGGGGTGCAGTGCGTGGCCCGGGAGGGGCCGGCCTGGGGGGCCGCTGAGGGCCTGCCTGCCTGCCTCCCCTCCTGCTGGAAGGAGCGCCTCCCGGGCCCCCTGCGACGAAAGGGGCGGGCGGCTTCGTCCAGGTGCGCCGTCTCGCTCCGGCCACGGGGGCCCGGCCCCCAAGGCGCCTCCCCGCCCCCCCCGACGAGCCGCCCGGCCCCCACCTCTGCTCCTGAGCGGCCACGTGCAAGCAGTCCATGATGCGCCGGACCTCCTCCGCGATCTGCTTGGCCCGGACCGTGTGTTGCTCGAACTTGGTCTTCACGGCCGACTGCGAGATGCACTCCTGCGCGGGAAGAGGTGCGGGGGATCAGGCCCCGCGGGGCGTGAGCCTCCCTGGCCCCTCTGCAGCGCCCACCCCCAAGTGCCGCCCCCCACCCTCCCGAGCCGCCTCGGCTTCCCCGGGTCTCACGTGCCTCGAATCGCCGCTCGAAGTTCTGGAACTCGAACATGCGCACCTGGAATCCCTCGGCCAGCGCACCACCTGGGGCCAGAAAGCCGTCTGAGAAGAGCCACCCTGCGTGGCTTGAGAGGAAAAAGGCCGGCGGCTCCCAGCATAGCGGTCTCGGGCGCCCTGGGAGTTGCCGGCCTTTTCTCTCTCGCAACAGGCGCAGGATCGTGCCCCTGAAGATTCTGGCAGGGGCCAAAAGCTCTACGTAGTGACCGATGCCCGCAGCAGCTTGCGCACAGCAGCGGGGCCTTCGGGGTGGCAGCCCCCAAAGGAAGGTGCGCACGGCTCCCCTTTGCTCCCAGAAGACACTCTGCTCCTGCGCTGGGCGGGCTTTACTCGGAAGCTTTGGGGGACACATTCCAGTGGGGCAACTTTCTGTAGACAGTAGAAGGCTGGTCTTGGGAATTCGGGCCAGTCACTGACTCTCAGCCTGGCCTACCTCGCTGGGCTGTTGTGAGGGTGAGATGGGGAACAGGAAGCAGGACTGTGGAAACTTCCAGGCTGGGAAAGAGAGGAAGGTGTGGCGGGCCGCTGCCAAGGCCACGGGGGGGGGGGCAAGTCCCCTTCCTCACCTCCCTCAGGCATCCCCTGTGCTTTCTGGATCCTGGCACTCAAGACCTCCTTGGCAGAGACGAAGAAGATGCGGTCCCCGGCCTGCGCGCGGTCCACGACCCCCAGCTCGTCCACCAGGAAGCTGGTGCAGCGCTCCATGTGCTGCCGGCGAACCTGTCAGCAGGGAAAGGAAAGCGAGGGCCAGTGTGACCTAGTGGTTAGAGCATCAGGCTGGAGTTCAGCAGGGGGGCTCAGCCCTCGACTATGGACTTTGAGCCAACTGCGGGCTCTCACCCCAGCCTGCCTAACAGGGTTGTTGTGCGGATACACAGGAGAGGGGAACTACGCAACCCACTTGGGTTCTAAGCGTGAGGGAGGGAGGACAGGATATCCTAACACGCGAGAAGAGGGCCTGAGGAACGGCATTCCTGCTCCCGGGACAGGCTCACCTCCTCCATGTACTCCGGCTCGGAGGCCGAGGCGTCCCAGCGGTTGTTCAGGATGAAGATGTTGGGCCGGGAAAGCCGCGCGTTGACCTTGTGGAAGAACTGCTTCTCCTGGGCACGGGGACGGACAGGCCGGCTCAGCCCACGGGGGTCCCGCACCCCCCCAGACCGGGCTGGCCCCTCGGGAGCCAATCCCGCCCCCCGTGCAAGGGACATGGAAGGGCGCGCGCAGAAGGTCCGGGGCCTCTCCCGCGGAAGAGCAGCTCCCCGGGAGCTCTGGCTGCGTGAAAACGGAGCGCATGAATGAAAGAAAAACGGCATGCAAGAGAAATCACGCGAGCAGCAAAGGCTGCTCGGCTCCGTTCCCGTGCATGCAGAACCCCCGACCTTCCCGGGCACGGAGCCCCCCCAAAGCTTGCCCGGCAGGGGCTCCCCCGGCGCTACCGTCTGCATCAGCGTGGACTCGGAGTTGGCCACCAGAACGAAGACGTCGGCGTCCAGGCAGAACTTGTCGATCCAGCTGTCCAGCTCGGTCGTGACGTCGATCCCGGGGCTGGGGACAGAGACGGAGGCCAAGTCCAGGGGGGCCGACGCGGCAGCCCTCTCCCCGGCGGCTGAGGCAGAACAGCGGCCCCCACACTCGATCCCCCGCGCCGAAGCGGGCCGCTCACCTGTCCATCAGGACCAGGTCGTCCTTGAGGAGCGGGCACTTGCAGTTCGGCCACATGACGCTGACCAGCCCTCCGGCGGTCAGCAGCTCGTCCTGGTGCAGGGCGTGGGCCAGCTGATTGACCGTCTGACGCGGACAGAGAGACAGGTGGCTTTTCAGTGCCCGGCATTTTCGGGCGCTGAAAAATGCTTTGCGGGAGCTCCGGGGGCCACACGCCGCTCCCCGTCCCAGCACTGGGCAACCCCCTTTCCCAAAAGGGCCCCCCACCTTGACGCTCTGCTTCTCCTCGGAGCCCTCGGTGAGCAGAAAGGCGTCGTGGCCGTCGGTCCCCTCCACGCGGAGGAAGCAGTTGGTGGTGTGCCCGATGCCGGAGGGGAGGACCTTGTCCCACAGCATGGCGTTGATCACCGTGCTCTTCCCGTTGCTTGTCCTGAAGGGCGGCACGAGAGGCCTTACAACCCCCCAGGAGGGGAAACCCGGTCGACCCGCGTTGTGTCAGTATGTACAGGGCGTTTTGGACCCTCGCTCGATTCCACACAGAAAGGCCGAGCCTTGTCTGTACAAGAGCTGGGCACGGCTATCAAGCGCAGGCCAAACGGAGGAGTGTCGCCCTTTGCAGGGTCGCTGCAACTTGAAAACAACTGGCCAGCACATTGCAACGAGAGCAGCCAAACACGGCTTCTGTGTGTGATGGGTAAAAAGGAATGCTCCAGAAGGTCACCACACATGAGGAAGAGGGAATGGGGAGGGTAGAGAAAAATATATTTCAGGAGAAGTGGTGAAATGCTCCCACTTCCCGTCATCCTTAGGCCGTACAGCTGTATGTGCTGACAGCACTTTACAAAGAAAGATCCACCTGGTGGCAGGAAGGTGTTTGAGCGAGCAGGGAAGGTGTTCTATAGAAAACAACTTCCTTAATTTAGAGATTAAACCCAGCAAGGCAGAGGTGCTGCTCACGGAGGCGTGTAAGTGGAGCTGCGGGGCTTTTCTGGAAACAGGCTGCTTCTGGGCCCAGTTCTTCGGCTTCTTTGTGAAGAAAGACACTCTGTGGGACAGCGTCAGGGCTGGGGAGGCCGGGGCTCTGATCTCCCCCCAGCCACGAAGCTTCCCTGGCTGAGTGGCCTTCCTTGGGCCACTCAGCCTAGCCCACCTCACAGGGCTGTTGTGGGGATGTACATGGAGGGGGGAGCAGCCCCCCCGGCTTGGATTCCTCCCAAGAGAACAACAGGCGAGATAAAAACAGCCGCGTCAAGGGCAGCACACAAACAGCTGGGGGGCGATGCAAACACGCCCCAAAGCCAAGGCCCCCGTCATCTGGCGCAGCAGCTGAAGGAAAGACTGGCACTGCAGTTGCAGAGATCTGGGGGGCTTTAGGCTGGAGAGGCCGGATTATCTGCGGCTCCTGTGACACCCGTGCGTGCGCACGGGTGTGCGCGCGGGCGTGTGTCCGTCCTAGTGTGGCATTCGCCCACAATATCTGGGAGTCAAATTCTCCAGCGGAGCAGCTGCGAATAAACTGGGAGGGTGACTCGCGCCCGTCGGCATCCGCTGGCAGACACGGCCCGCCACCCGAGTCGCCGGCGGCCAGCAGGGACGCTCGCGCCGAACTCACCGCCCGAAGAAGGCCACCTTCATGTGCCGCCGGGCCAGGACTTCGGCGATGCCGCTGACCTTGGACAGGTAGCCCTTGACCTCCTGCACCTGCTCCTCCGTGGTGACCGGGTCCAGCTCCGCGTTCCTGTGCGTCTCTGGAAGCAGAAAGGCCGCTGGGCTCAGGCCAGGGGGAAGGGGCGGGCGCGCGTCCGGCATCATTCGCACTGTTCCCGGGCGCTTTTGGGGCGCACGACGGGAGAGCGGGGAAGGCCGATGCGACGTTGAAACAGTGCAAGGAAAGGGGAGGGACGCCGGAAACACGGGAGGAAAAGCCGGCGGCGTCCCAGGAAAAGTCATTTTCCTGTCTGGGCCACCCCCTCCCGGTGCACTGGGGGAACGTCCAACTGCCACTCGCCCCCCCAAGCCCCCCCACTCCCGAACTGAACCTGGCCCTTGCAGGGCTTGCGACCAGTACGAAGGAACATCTGGGGTGCGATGCTAGAATTAAAAGCCATCAGGGCGCCGTTGGGGGGAGGCGGCCCTTGCAAAAAGCCCCAGGTTTGGGTCCTGGCACCCCACTTCTGGGGAGCTCGGGCAGCACAGCAAGGAAGGGGCCAGCTTAGCAAGCAGTTTGCGTCGATTTTGTCCTACGTGTAACAGCTTTGTAAAAAAAATGGATGGGAAACTTTTTCTGCATGTTAGAGTCCAGCCCCTTAACCTTCCAACGCTGCCAGGAGTACTTTTTCTATCGCCGCTTGCTGTACCTAAGCCTTAATGTTTGCTTGTTTCTCTCGCCATCAGTTCCACGCTGGCCAGAGCTCCTATCCGGCGCAGAAGCCCTCGTTACCAGCCGTGGCTAGTTCAGAAGCTTTTAAGAAGCCTTCCCCCAAGTCCCTTGGTGAAGGAGGAAGGGAGCCGTCACGTCTTGCTTTGTCCGTCTGGCCACTCGCCCGCACGGCGTTTCGAGTCGCCGAGGGTGGCCAGGGGAAGTGCGAGGCTGACCCACCTTCCAGGAACGTGGCGCTCTCTTGGATGTAGGAGGCCAGCTGCTCAAAGATGCCATTGATCTTCTTCTTGGCGGTGACAAAATGCTTGAGCGGGGAAGCGCTGACTTCCGCCATGTGTCTTTTGTCCTTCTTGTTGGCGACGATGGAGTTGGAGCGGGTGAACAACAGGGACATCGCTCTGGAAAACGGGAAGGAAAAGTGGGCAGTGTGGACAAGTGGCGAGAGCGAAGCTCTGGGGCGAGGCTGGGCTTGGGGAGAACAGCTGGGCTTGGCTGCAACGCCGGCAGCGGGGCGAGGGGACACTGGCTGCCACTGCAGCTGGGTGGCACGATCCTGCGGGAGCAGAGAGCAAAGCCGCTTCGGCCTTTGGGGAGAAGAGAAACCCGCACAAAAGCCGGAAGCAAGCAAAGAACCGGTGAGCTGCAGGGGCGGCGGGATGGGGAGCTGAGAAGGGCCGGATTGCTATCCTAGATGCGTAAAAATACGACCGACCGACAAATACCCGTTGGCCTCTTGTTTGTTTTACATGTCAAGGCCAACCGTGGCAGTGCTGACCCTTAAGGAAATCAAATACGCCCCTCTTCTACTCCTTGTTAGCTCGTGCTTAACCCTATTAACTTGGAATTTGCGGCCACGGGTCTAGAGCGTCACACCATTAAATAGCACTGGAGAAAAATACATGAGAGGAAAACACCCCTCTTTGTGTCCTGCAAGGGAGCAACCAGAGGTTGCCGGAAGGACGGAAGCGACCCGCAGCGAGGCGCTTCGGACATTCTCGGTCCAATCCTGCACAGGAGAGAGTGGAAACGTGCCGTGCAAACGGAAGCCCGAGCGAGGCTTCCTACCGATTCAGGAGGGGGAGCGTCCATCTGATCCCTGGCACCTCCGGTTTTAAAGGATCGGGAGAAGGTGCTGGGAAGCGCCTTCTCTCTCCGAGCCCAAAGGCACGGCCCCCAACCGGAGCAGTCGGAGCCCCCACCCAACCTCTTGGGGCCCACGGGCACCTTCAGAAGTATGCGCAACTGGGCCAGGCACCCAAACAAAACGCCTGTTTGGGGTCCAGCTGCGGCTTTTTCAGCAGCATCTACACTGAGCAAAGACATTTGTCATTATTTCACGGCTGGCAGCACGACATCTCTTTCAGAAGGGATTATCTGATCCTGCTAATTGCGGGCAAGGCAAGGCACTTAATTCAGCTCTGAGACACGTGTTTTCAAACTTCAATAGTTGCATCTTTAAGGGTGGAACCACTAACACAGCTAAAAGATGCTCTGGGGGGGGCGGAGTCCTTAAAATTCACCAGTGTACAGTCTTGGATATTATCTACTTGCTTCCTGGAAATCCACAAGGAGTCAATGGATTCTGTGCACCCTTTTTACTCTGAAAAGACAGATATCGGAATACGGGGAGGGGCTAAACACCACTTTCCCATAGTGCAATGGCTTAAGAAGCCACTGCCATGTTTATTCCTGTCTTTTTTCCTCCTGCAAGGAACTCAAGGTGGCCTGCAAGGTTGTTCTCTCCATTTTATCCTCAAATGTAATAAATCAAATTGAACAATCCGCACAACAACCTTGTGAGGTACGCCAGGCTGAGTGTCTATGACCGGCCTGAAGTCATTTCAGTGAGCATGGAGACCTGCACCTGGATTTCCCAGGTCCAGCCCAAAAATAAACAAATAAAATCAATAAACCAATTATCCTGCATTGCATCGCGGATCTTAGGTTGCTTTGATTATTTGAATGAGTGAAAGATAAACTCCAAATGGATGCATACGTGGGCCTTTGGTCTGGTTTTGTTGAAGCTGCGTACCTTTTATACGCATTCCTTAGTATAAATATATGCAAATATTTTTAAAATTGGGAAATATGTTACGAATGCCCCAAAGTAAACAATATTTAGCTGCTGTAAGTTAGTTCTCCAACTTACTTTTAAGATGCAGCGTTTTCACAAGCCGAACATGATCCGTACGTTCTCTTCCAAGCAGCCGGGATCAACACAACAAGCAGCGGCAGAATCCAATTTTCCGTCACTGTCGGGAGAGAAAGATGCGCCGGATTAGGAAGCGCACATGCCCTGACCACGTGCTGCTGCCTGCGGCTTCCACAAGTGACACAAAACACCTGCAGCTCAGCCGGCACACACACACCTGCGCAACGGGCGCTCCTTCGGCCCCGTCTCTCCCCGACCCGCTCCAGCCCACTCGCAAGAGATTCTGCGAGATGTCCAAAAAAGAAAGACAAATCAGCACGAGCAAACCTCACGCTTGGCCAGCAGATGCGGCTTCTCCTCCCGTTCCCGCAGAAGCGTCTCACTGCTCCTTTTTGCTAGAGAGTCAGGCAGGAGCAACCAAGAAATACGTATAATAAAATCGCGCTGCAGCTTCGACATGGACCCAGGGTCAGGGTGTGCCTTGTGCGGGTTTAGACACAAACAGAAACGCCCTGCGATTCCCCGCCTGTCTGGCCGAGGCACGCCGGCAGCCGCAGGGTAATCTGCCTCAATACGCGCAGGGATGCCCCTCGGCTGGCATGGGATTTGCGCACAACGGGCAACGCACGGCCCACGCAAGACGCGTGCCCGCCTTCGAGGGCCCACCGGGCTGCGACCCAGCCTGCACCCCCCTGGGGAAGCCAGGCCACCGTGGCTCAGGTCGTGCTGGGCTGGCATCCCTTAGCCGGCCCCCGGTGCTGGGGCCACTGGATGGCGCCCCCCCGGCCACTCTGCGAGGGGGGGCTCGGCCGGGGAGCGGCCTTGCCGGGGTGGCCCCTTCCGCAAATGTCCTGCCCCTGCAGGCGGTCCTCCCGTCGCCACCGGGCCAGCGGGGCCGCTCCGGGAAGGATCCCGGCCAGCGGCTCGCCCCCCCCCCCGCGCCGCGGCCCCGGGTGCAAATCAGCCCGGCCGCCCCCCCCAGGGCGCCGGGGAGCGCGAGGGGGCCGCGCTGCCAGGAGCGGCGTGCGGTGCGGGCGGGGCGCAACCCGCAAGCAGCCCGCCGCCCCATCCTCACGGACACGCGACTGCCCCGGGGAAGCGCCGACACGCGTCCGCCGAGAGCAGGGCCGGAGCGCCGCCGCGGAGGGGAGAGGAGGGCGTGGCGGGCCAGCCGGTCTCCCGCGCCCCGCGCCGCCCTCCCCACGTGCGCGGCACACGCGAACGCGCCCCCCGCCCCGCAGCCGCGCCCCCGGGCAGCCCGCGCGCCGTCGGGGCCCGCTGACACGCGTCGCCCGGCTCGCGCCCGCCTCTCACCTTCACCTCCCCTCTCGCCTGCGCCGCTGCAAGCAGGAACCCAGCCCGGGCCGCGTCAGAGGCGCGCCGGGCGGGGCGTCACCCTCCCGCGACGCGCGGTGCCCCGCGGCATCATGGGACTTGGAGTCTGCCGGGGAACCGCGTCTCCCCCTCCTCTCTCTCACTGTTCCCGAGGCTTAGCTGAGACAGCTCAGTGGGAAAGCGCTCTGCACATGCTCTGTGCTCCCAGAACGCACGCATTGCCCAGCCAACTGGTGGTGGGTCTCTACTTCGAAGGCGGGGAAAGCATGGTCCCCCAGATGTGGCTGGATCGCAATGTCCATCATCCCCATGCAGCACGGGGGTAATGGTGCGTGCAGTCCGACAACATCTGGAACGTTATGGATCCCCCATCCCTGGTTTGCTTCTTAGTTCTGACAGTGCAGGACAGAGAAGCAAAAAAAAAAAAAAAACCCCAACAAAAACTAAATGCACTCTGCACATGCTCAGAGACCTTTGAGGCATTCCGCACACATGCTCAGAGGCATCCTATATGTTCAACTCCACCTTTGCCACCAGGGCCCTCTGCCTCTCCTTAGGACCACAGTGAGCTGCCTCAAGCCCAGAACTGGCTGGCAGCACCGGCCTTCCAAGGTTTCAGCCTGCAATTTTTCCAAGCACTAAAGGATGGCAGCGAGGTCTTTCAGCACCTGGCACTCAGGGGTACACTGCCCCTGCACCTGGAAGTTCTGTTTAGCTTTACGGCCATTAGACGGTAGGCACCTCCCTGGACTGGAAGGTCCACCTGAACAGGCATTCCACTTCCAGTGACGGCAACGGCGATTCCGGCAGGAGGAACATCCTCGCGTCAGTGTCACTCCATGCGCCAGGGAAAGGCGCACCGGCCCCCTGCCCGTCCCCACACCTCTCCTTAAAGGCAGAGCATCTGAACCGCAGGGATCCACAGCACCACTGGGAAAATTGCCAGCATCAATCGATTCGCTTGCTGTTTTCATAAACATTTTAATGTAAAAATCTCCTGTCGAAATCTGTACACCTTGTGCAGAAGAAACAAACAGAGGGGCGCCTCTCCGAAATAAATACGTACAGCTCTTAGAAAGCTCCTCACCGGAGCCTGGCTTCGAACCGCCGGGGACCTTACCCCGGTGCGGAGAGGGAGAGGGCCGATCTAAACCGGGCCAGCCGCATCTCGTAAACCGAATAAAAATTCAACGGGCCGGGCACCCTATGCCCCTCTTGGCCGGTTTCCAGGAAAGGAGGGGGCAAAGCCAGAAATAACGCTTTAAAACTGCATGGCAGAGGTTTCTTATTCCTCCATCTTTTCTGGGTTTATCTGCTTTTGACGTTGGTTCCCGCCACAACCTACACACAGCACAAATGGCTCACACAAAGCAAAATCAGAAGTCGGGGGGGGGCATCGGGGGGGGCCAGCAGTAGAGAGACTGCCTTGTCCTGGGGGCACAGAACCCGTGGGGGAAATTCTCCCACATGGGTCCCAGGGAAAGGAAACGGCGGCACGCGAGGGGGCTGCCCGGCACTTCCTGCAGGCTCCCCCCGTCGATTCGAGGGACGCGAGAGTGAACTCTGCTTCGAGCGCCCTGCTATCTTTGGAAAATCTCCCCATTTTTGGTTCAGAAGAAGCTTTTTAAGGCAACAACAATTCGGTAGTCGGATCGAGTCCATTTGGAAGCTCAGGTTTTCCGATTCTCGGCCAAGTTCTCCTGTTGAGGGTGCAGCCGGCAGGGAAAGATTCCCCCGTCCTCTCTCCCTGCTCCGTCGCGGAGGCGGCTCCTCTACGGGTCGAGAAAAGACACGGCGATGTAGCGGGTCCCTTTGGTGGTGGGAAGCCCCTCGTGGTAATGCGTCAGGCGGCCAGGGTGCAGGAGGGTCCACCCCTTCCGGGGGGCCCTGACGGAACAGTTGTAGCGCAGGAAGCGGCAGCCTCCTCCCTGCGGGGGAAGGAAAAAGAGAGATGGTGCGAAACAGAACTGCCAGGATGCTGCCAGGATATTCTCACATAACCCCAGTCCTCTACCAGCTCCACTGGCTCCCCATCGAAGTCCGGGCTCCATTCAAGGTGCTGGTTATCACCTATAAAGCCCTAAACAGCTTGGGACCTGGATACTTGAAGGACGCCTGCTTCCATATTTGCCCTCCCGCCCCCTGAGATCGGCAGCAGAGGCCCTTCTCCAGGAACCCTCCGTGAAAGACATCAGGAGGCAAAGTACCCGGAGCAGGGCCTTCTCTGTGGTGGCGCCCCATCTGTGGAACGCGCTCCCCAGAGAGGTCCGCCTGGCGCCGTCATTATTTGTTTTTTGGCGTCAGGCTAAGACCTTTTTATTTCAACAATATTTTAACCATTTTTAATCTCTTCTATAGGTTTTAATTTGCAGCCAGGGTGAATCTGGATTTTAATTGCACTATTTGCATGATGTTTATTTATGGGATGTAAGCCGTCCCGAGGCTCATGCGATGGGACGGCATACAAAAATTCTAAATAAATAAACACACACACACACTGTACAAGGCGCCAGGACTTCAGTGGCCTCAGGTTGGACGGCTGCAGTGCTACCCACGTGGCCCTGCCCTTGGAAACCGGGAGGGTTGTGGAAAATGAGGCGATCCGATGGGTCGCTCTGGCCCACTTGCGCTGGCTGCTCTGCGTTCCCGAGCCCAATGCCAGCGGTTGGGTCTGACTCATCCGGCCTCCCACGGTTTGAAACCGGACGGGAGCCCTTCCCAGGATGACCCCACCAAGGCAGAGGGACGGGCACCGGAGCGTCCCCCGCTCAGCCAGAGCGGTCTGGGCAGAGCGCCTTCTGCGTTGGCCCCTTAATGGGAGGCCAGTGTCTCCCAGGGGGCCTGGCCGCCCCCAGCACCAACCTCAAACCTGCATCCACTCTGAGCATCTGATGTCCTCCGTCGTGCAATTGTTTTATCGGTTCTAAGTATGTTAATGTTCCTTGTTCGTAACAGTTTTAAATGTTTCGATGTTTTTAGCCTTCTTGGAAGAGCCCATGACACCCCTTCCGTGAAAAATGTCTAATCACTTTGCCGTTGCAAAATGCCTGGAGCACTTCGCTTATCGGGTGGCATAGAAATTATGATTGTGATGACTGTGGTTGTGATAAGAAAGGACATACATCCGTTTGTCATCGTCTCTGACTGTCGAGTCGAACCCTGGCCTGCCTATTCTACGCAGGAAGAAAAGCCACTTCTCTGCCCGCCCCTTGGGAGAGGGACGCCGCCGTGGGCAGGAGCGCATCAGCTTGGGGGAAGCGGCTTCGCCCCCTGTGCCCAGTCGCTCACTCGCCCACCAGCGGCTTTGGCAGGACGGTCCCCCGCCAGCACTGACCTCGTAATCGACCCCGACGCGGTTCAGGGCGATGTTGATGGTGAACGTGGAGGCGTCGTGGTGTGGCATCAGGGACGGCTGCTCGTCGGGCTTGTACCGGACGACGAAGGCCAGCTCGAACTGCGCCTGGGCACGGGGGGAGAGGGCGCACGGCCGGTGAGCTCCCCGCAGCCGGCCCTGGTGTGTGCCCAGGCCGTGGGGGCACCGGCCAGGGAAACGGAACATGGGGCCGAGGGAGGTGTGCGGCAGGGTGCCCCCTCAGCCCGTGGGGAGAGACCGCTGCGGCGCCTGGCGGGGGCTTCCCCAGCCGTGCAGGCGGGAAAGACGGGCCCCGTGCTGCCAGATCTGAGACTGATCCGGCTCGGCCCCGTTTCCCTCCCCGAGCTTTGTGGAGCCTGCACTTGTATTAGATCCAGCGCGGATTTGGACTTCCCCATGGAATGGTTTCTCAAAAGGTTCTCAGGCTGCCACGGGGAACACATAGAAAACAGAGCGAGTCAGAAGGGGCCTCCCGGGCCACCTAGTCTGACCTCCGGCACCAGCCGGCTCCGCTCACAACATGCCCACCACGTGCACGTCCAGCCTGTCCTTGAGCACCCGCACCGATGGGGCCTCAACCACTCCCGTGGAAGCCCATTCCACACCCTCAGGAAGTGCTTCCTGCCATCCAAACGAAACCTTGGCTCCCTGAGCTTTGCTCCGTTGGAGCGCCTCCTGCCTTCCTGACGGGGCGGTGACGTGGTGCGGACGTGGCGCGAGCACCTGGGTTCTGCCGCAAAACCTCGAAACGAGGAGCCATTGGAGGCGTGGGCGCTACCTTGGTGTAGTAGCCGGGATAGAGTTTCTCCGTGATGGGCGCGATGTAGTCCAGGAGAAATTTGTACCACTCGCGCTCGAAGTTGATTTGGTTCATGTGGATATCGATGGTCGGCACGTTCTCGTATCCCCCCTGGATTCTGTGGTCCTGCAATGAGAAGGCACAAAAGCGGCCGCCGTGAAGGCGAGAGAAGTGGGGATCAGCCGGTCGAGCGAGCGAGCGATTTCCGTTGGGAGCGCGGGCCTCTCCTTGGAAGTCCTCAGAACGGCCTGCTGCGAAGGCAAGCAGGTGATCGACAGCGACCACGCATGCCCCACGGCACGGCCTCGCCTTACCAGGCCCCCAGAAACGCCCGCTCGCCTGGGCGAGTTGAACCCAGCCACAGGTAACCAGCAAAGGAAGATTCATAGCTCGAAAACGAGTCAGGAGGGCTCCCCTACCCTCCTTCCAGCGTGCCTCAACCCAGGGACGCGCGGGTTAGACAGTCTGGTCCTTTTCTTTGTCTGTTGCGGATGTTTTCTGCCACTTTCCAATGCAAAGTCTTACGGTGGTTTGTACAGAAAGAAAAGCAACCGCTGCTGCCCAATTTAAAAGAGCCATTAAAACAGAGCAGCGCTTCAGCATTCCCGCAAGTTTGGAGATAAACGCTGGTCAAACGGCCTTACCTGGTTGCCTCCCTTGGACCACTGGCCGAAATTCTCCATCTCTTCCACCAGCTCGTCACAAGCTTCTTCCGTAAATATCGGGAACCAGTAAACATCCGGGCAGGGCTGGCGATGGAGAGGAGCGAAGTAAGAGCTTCAGGGGCGAAGCGTTCACCGAAGGAGGCTGGGCCTCCTCTGGCAGGAAGCAGCCTCCAGCCCAAAGACGTGAGGCCCTGGCTGTTTTCCATGGGGCGTGTCGAGAGCGCCAGCCCCCAGAGAATCCAGCCCCTTGTCCCCAGGAGAAAAAGCCCTACAGTGCATGGCTCAAAGGAAAGGCCTGGCCACGAGGAGGCCACCCTGCCCAGGCCCGTTCCCGGGAAGACCTCGGATGCCCGCTGCGCACGCACCCGGAGGAGGGGCATGAGGCCATGGGGATGCACTTGAGCCAGAGGGACCCCGCGTCGTCCGGCCGGAGCCTGGCGCAGCGAGCCTGCCCTCCAGAGAGACAAAGCCAGGCCACCATGGGGCCGGGGCCAGACGGCGGACGGGAACCAGTGGGGCCGAACAGTCGGCGTTGGCGTTCACCCGACCCCTGGGCTTCCCTCTGCGGACCCCGCCGAACGCAGGAGGAGACACGAGGTAGTCACCGTTTCCACCAGTTTGCCTTTCAAGGCCGTGAAGTAGTTCTCGTGGATGTATTTTTCCTTCCAGTCCTATTTTAGGAGAAGGCAGGAAGGAAGGACAGACAGACGGACAGACGTTACTTGGTGTGTTATTCTTTCCTCTGGGGCTCAAGCTTGCCTACAACAATCTGCCTTCCCCTTGTTAGACTGCCGCTGGGATCAGAGGCAGTCTGCCTGCGTACCCCAGTTGCTGGGGAGCATGGGCACGGGGGTGGCATCTCACTCCCGTCCTGTTTGTGGGATCCTGGGGGCAGCTAGTTAAACCCAGCGTGAACACAGGGCTGGCCGAGAGGGGCTTGCAGTCTGGTCCCGCAGGGCTGTTCTTATGGGGCCTGGCTCCAAACTCTGAACACAGTCCTAAGCCCTAGTCCTTGTGGTCTTGCAGAAGTTTGCAGCCGAACTGAACGGGTCCTGTTCACAGTCCGGTGCCCTTTTTGGGTTTTCGAGAACTTAAACGTGCCAGTGGGCCACCCTTGGTGGAACACGATCGCCCCGTGTTTCTGCAGGGGCCCCCTGTGCTTGGAGAGCCTCCAGACGGGCACCGTGACTCATGCAGAGGTGTGACGGGGAGGTTTTCCCTTCCGGACTGGCTCTTACAAAAATCCGGCCGGCTCCTAGAAGGCGCAGAGACGCGGACCAACCGCTGCCTTATCTGGCCGGGGACTTCGTACCTCTGGGTTGCTGAAGATCTGCCAAAGATCATTATGCAGGTGGCTGGTCTGGTAATTCTCCAGGGAGAGAATGTGTCCAAAGTGCTGTTGATTCGTCACGAAAAGGAAGATGTCCTGTGGGACAGAAAGAAGAGGCAGTGGCTTTGGAAGCTCTGGAAAACCCCAAACCTGCCCCGCCCCAGAGCGAATCCAGCCTCCAGCTGCCCTGTTGGACTCCGACCCCCACCACCCCAGCCAGCGTGAGGGCAGCCGAGCAGGAGGGGAAGGAAACTAGGCAGGCGCCTGTCTCTTAGGACGGCGTGTGCGTCCGTCCACGGCAGCTCTGCCCCGGCCCTTCCGGATGAGGTGGGTTTTTCGGGCCGCGCCAACCTGCTCCCGGAGGTTGTGGCAGAAAGCCATATCCGCGTCTAGCTTGCCGCTGTGGAAAAGGTCGTGCTGAGTGAGCTGAGACCTCAGGAGGCTGCCCTTGATCAGATAAGCGCTTGAGATATACGGGACGTTCCAGAGGCCACTGAGAAAGGATGAATTTATTTATTTATTTATTATTTTATTTTATTTAGTCAACTTCTATGCCGCCCCGTTCGCTGAAGCCTTGGGGCGGCTCACAGACATAAACAAACTTCGTTAAAATAATATGAATTAAATTAATATAATATAAATTAACAGTATAAATTAAGTCGCCCTGGCCAAAGAATAAAATAAATAAATACTATTAACAGTTAAAATGACATTTGAATAAAAAGGTCTTTGCCTGGCGCCGAAAAACAAATAACGACGGCGCCAGGCGGCCCTCTTTGGGGAGCGCATTCCATAGATTTAATTTATTTAATTTATATTGCAATTTCTAGCCTGCCTTTTTCCTACCAAGGACTCAAGGCAGCTGACAGCCTTCTCCTCCTCCATCTTATCCCCACAGCAACAACCCTGCGAGGGAGGTTGGGCTGAGCATCTGTGACTGGCCCAAAGTCACCCAGTTGGCTCCATGGCCGAGCGGGGACTCAAACCCGGATCGCCTGAGTCCCAGTCCCAGGCTCTTAACCACTACGCCAGCTGCCTCTCACTGAATCAGCAACAAGGTCACTCCCAACCCTCCCGCTGGACGTGAAATGAAGGAGGGCAGCCTCTGACGGGTGTTCGGGGAGAGGAAAGGCCCGCGGCGTCCAGCACCTGCCGGCCAGCCGTGTCTGCATCGGGGCCCTAGCTGAGGAGGGGCTCCCGGGCTCTCAGGATCAGTGAGCATGTCTGGAATTCGAGGCGTGGGTCATGGGTGCTCACAGAAGCTGTCTGGCACGGGGGTGGTGGTTAAACAGCCCCCATTTTGCGCCTGGCAGATGGAGAGGGGGACGAAAAGAAAAGTGCCCGAGGAGTTAAGTGTGAGGCAGAGGTGGGACCTGAGCTTCGAAACACAAAATAAACAAGCTGCTGCGTGAAGGAACGGCTGCGTGTGGCTTGCCAACCTCCCTGCTTTTTTTAACACTGGAAAATATTTTAAAGTCACGCCAGGAGTTAGCCAAGGAGCCAGATGGGTACCAAGAGAAGTGTCCATGGCATCCTGAAGCCGATGGGCTCCATGTGAGAGATCCCAGAAGCAGAATAACACTTGTAAATGATTTCTCTATTACAAATGACATGAAATTCAATGAATTGGGCAGCACTGAAAAACAGCAACAAAACCAGGTCATACCGTACTTGGACAGCTAAGGAGGTATTGAGACAAGGAGAATTTTGGGAGCAGAATGCGGAACAGCCTCGGAAGCCACGCAAGGACTGTGAGATACTCACACCCGCCGCCCCTGGACGATGTCCACGTAGTCCTCCGAGCGAGCATAGTAGCCGTCGGGGCTCAGGGCAGCCCAGAAATTCGACCACAGCTTCCCGAGGCGGCTCACGAGCGGGGCGATCACGAGCCTGTGGGGTCGTGTGGGGGGGAGAAGCACGAGAAGACGGGGGTGAGTGTGCCTGCAGGCAGGGAACGGGGAGGGGTCTTTGGCTGCAGAGAGTTGGGGAGGGACGGGCACAAGCGTGGGGTATCCCCAGCAGTCTGCGCATCTTGTGCCAAAAAAGGGACACGAAAGCCCAGTGTTGCGCATCAAGGCTAAGCGTCACCGGTGGTATTTGCAGAATTTCTCATATTTGCATAATTTGCATGAGCGTATTTGCACAGTTTCTCCTGGTGAGTGCTTGTCTGTCTTAGCCTCAAGAGGGAGGTATCAAATCCTGACAGCTGAGAATCTTATTCAGCAACGCATCTGCCTCCTGAGATCCGGCCCCCAATTTCAAACAGATCTCCTCTTCCATGAGGGCTAGGAACTTGGGTCTTAAAACAAAAGGTGGCCCCGGCCCTGGACTTTCTCGGGAGGAAGGGTTGGCTCAGGTTGCAAGGGTCTACTTGTAAGGAGGAAGACCCAGCTGTAGCCGAGGAAGGATCAGACCCTGCTGCAATTGGGGAATCGGGGCCGGCCGGCAAATAGGCGGCCCGGCGTCCGCCCAGGCCGGAGCGAGGGGCTCACTTGTTCTGCTCCACGAGGACCCGCAGTGTGTCCTGGTTCTTCAGCACCACGTCGGCGTCCAGGCTGAAGTAATACTCGCAGACGGGGTCCTGCCGGCACAGGTCCCTAGAGGAGAAGGAAGCGGGCCGGTGGGACCTGGGACCGCGCGGAAGCAGAGTGCAGCCGGGGCCACCCTCCACGCTCCCCCCTGCGGCTCCTTACAGGCCCACGTTCCGAGCGTCGGCGTTCTCCACTTGATTCTCCGGCCCGATCACTTTGACGGAGCGATAGTCTTGCCCGCGCCCGCTCACGAACGCGCCCACCTGGGCGAGGTGATGCGCCTCCTGCAGCCAGAGAGCGACAGGCCTCCGTCACGCGCGGCCGCGCCTGCTCCGGGCCGTGGGCCCCGCTGGCCGGCCAGGTGTGGCGGCGACGAGGAGGGCCCCCCGCCTGCCCCCGCCGGGACGGCGACTCACGTGGTTGTGGATGAGCAGCTGGATCCGTTTCTTCGGGTACCGGAGCTTCTGCAGCCTCTGGAAGAACTGGGTGAGGAACGGGGTGGGCTGCTCGATGAAGATCCCAATCAGCACCACCGGCAGCAGGTCCTCCTGCGCTCCAGCCAGAGCGGGGAAACAGGGAACGTCAGGACAGTTCCGCCTGGAAGCTTGGAGCTTTATAAATACGTTTGGACTGCCTGCCGCTTTTCTGGGCGTGGGGCAGGGAAGCACAGGCTGCCAATGGCCGGAGGAGCTTGCTGCGTTAGCACCGCGTGGCGTCGAGGGCTGAGCCCGGGTTTAAGGGGCTCAAAACCCCTCAGGTCCTAGGACGAGGCTGCATACAAGTGCAACAGCCAGGGGATTCTGGGCACTTCTGCTTCCCACAACCGCCTCCCCAGCGTGGCAGCCCCCTCCTCTGCCTCCAAGACTCCCCCTCCCTTCCCCCAGTTTCCAGACTGGCTGGGGGATCACGGGGGCCCCAGTCCAGCACATCTCGAGGGCTCCGCGTTCCACGCAGGGCTGAGCGATATCACAATACCCAGGACGCTTTGCAGGAATCCAAGCCCGGAACCCGAAGGCTCGGCCCAAGCGTGGGAGACCTTTCAGCCCCCCGGGCAGAGTCCAATTTTGGAGCAGCTTTTCTGGGCAACATTCCAGGGATGGTGGGGCCAGAAGCAAAGGCCTGCCCGTGCCCCCGCCCCCAAGCCCTCGACTCCTCACCCCAACCGAGTCCAATTCGCATCTGCCCTTACCTTCAGGTCCGCCAGACTCTTCCGGCCTTCCTCACAAACGGTGCAACCTGTCTCAAAGGTCCAGCTCTGGGGGATGTAGTTTCCCAGGTAGTTCAGCTGCAGCTTTGAGGAGAGAGATATTCCCAAAGCCCAAATGTAATCCCCACTTTTTAATGGGCTGCCCCACATGGCCGGAAGCTGTTTCCAGGGTCTGCCTGGATGCTCTGCGGATTTTCCGATGCCAAGCGAAGGCCTTTTCAAAGACGTTTGGACTGCCTGCTTGTTGCATTTTGAGGCATGGCTGCTGCTGAGTTTTGAAATCTTTTTCTCCTTGTTTTAGCAGCCTAGCTCTTCTTGCAAAATTATTTAAAGAAGAGAATCATTATCGGCAGCTCAGAATTCGGATTCTTCCCATGCAAAATACACCAAGAGCCACTTATGAGTCCACGTGAGCACACGGCAGGCTGGTTTCCCGCAATTGTTATTTGTTTTTCAGCACCAGGCTAAGACCTATTTATTTAAAACTTATTTTAATTGTTAATTTATTTAGGTGTTTTTTGTTTTTTTCTAGCCGAGAATGCACTGAGGTTTTAATGAGGTTTTATGGCATTGTGGTTTTATTGTATAGTTAATGTTTGACGTTGTGAGCCGCCCCGAGGCTTATTGTGATGGGGCGGCATAGACATGTTTTAAATAAATAAATAAATTCCTGGGACAAAGCCATCTTCGTTTTGGATTGAGAAAGAGGGAAACAAACTTCAAACAACATGGGGACCTGATCCAAATTCATTTCTTGTGTGCTGCTTGCCACTGAAATCCGGGTTTTCACTGAGACATGGGCTACCTTTTTCGCCTGAAATCAGCCGAGATAACAAACCATGGTGAGCAAACCACAGTTCACCAGCCAAGAACAAGCCACGGGTTCTCCTCCTGGGTCGTTTGTGATGAAGAAGCCATCGCTTGCGAGCACAGCAATCCAGCTGCAGCGATAATATGCCGTCCAACGACGGGTCCGACTCCAGTAGCGACTTCTAATCCCTGTCAAATTTCCAGCAGTTGTGACGCCACTTACCTTGGTGGGGCCGTTGCCGTGGATCACGACCGGGAGCGTGTCGAAGGCCAGGTTCCGTGCTCTCACTCGCCTCGTTTCGAACTTCAGAACCACTTCATCTGGGAAAAGAATTTTTTAAAAGGAAGGTGCTTGGAGGAGGAAGGAAGGGATGCAGGTGGGCCGCGGGTCAGCCCAGCGTCCCGAAGATTGCTCTCCTGTCTGCCCACTTTGGAACAAGGGGGTCCCCGTCCCTTTGGCTTTGGGCCCTCCCAACACTGGGATGCAACTGGGGAGATTCTCCTCCATGGGAGGTGGCCTTGGGGCTGAGGGGGGCTGGCCACCCCCGTTGAGACGCGAAGGAAACGCCACAAAGAGCCAGGGAAAGCAGCGAGCAAAAGAGCCTGCCGGGCAGGAAATCACGCTGAAAGATGATATGCCGGGGTGAAATCAATCATCCGAGCAAAGTCAGCTGCATCTTAAACGGCCAGGAAGCGAACGTGAGAGATGGAAGCAGGCTGGCGAGGCCTGAGCGCGTGACATAACTTTTCTGTTATTTAGTCCTATTATATTCCGATTCCCTGCAGCAGGCCTACCTGCTTCTGCTCCACCCACTAGTTTTGCTTCTTGCCATAGCCCTGGGGCATGGATCTTTGCTGCTACCTGCCGAGACCCCTCCCTGCCTCCACACCCAAACAAGAATACTGAGAATACCAGCCTGCGATATTTCCTGGCAGGCTGACCTGGCCAATGCCCCATGAGTCGTCGATTGTTATTTATTTATTTATCCGTTTAAAACTTTTGTAGATTGTCCCATTACCCAAGTCTCAGGACAGTTTAACAATACAAAATGTTTTTTTTATGTATATGTATATATTAAACACAGCATCCTAAAACAATACAGAATGTAATACACACACACACACACACACACACACACACACACATATATTGAACACAGCATCCTAAAATTTAACTAATAATAAAACCCCCAATTAAAACAGTCAGGTCTGAAAACATTGGGAATATAAAAAGGGTTTGGCTGGCAGTTGTAATGCAAAGGGTAAATCATGTTTGTGTTGCTTTTAATATTGATTTCATGTTTTGTGTGTGATGCGGTGCCCTATTTATTTACGTTATCGCCCCCATGAGACATTGTAAAGGGCGGGATCCAAAAACTGCAAATAAACAGTCGAGAGAGGAAGCCATCCCAGGATGCCTAGGCAGTGCCCAGGGATCACGGGATATTTGGGATTCTGGGCCTGGAGAATCAGCGGCCCCCGCCGCCCCGCACCTTCCCAGCGGGCCCCTCTCTGAGGCTGGAGGGGTTGTTGCAGAGGGGCTGGTCTTCGTGGGCAGAGAGGGGCAGACTGGGGAGGCCGCTGTAATTCTCCTGAAGGAATGGCGGGTTTTTCCGTCTAAGGGCTGTGCCCTTCCTATTTTTCAAGGCCTTGCTCAGGAACCCGGGAGCTCTGCGTCCCTCTCCCACCCCCATGCCCAACTTGCCCAGAACCATGACACAATCCATGTTAGTTCTGGGGGCCTCAGAAAGCCATTTCAGCCCCTCCCAAGTATGGGAGACCCCCTTCTCCTCCGGAGTCTCACCTAGAGCGCCGTTCAGGTTTTGGAAGATCCGACACCTGTGATCCAAGGTTATATTTAGGCTCTCCTGTGTGCGGGGAGAAAATATACGCACGAGAGAGTTATGAGTGCTGGAAACCTCCGCCCCGAGGTTTCGGCAAGGGGCGGCATAGAAATGCTATAATAATAATAATAATAATAAAAAAGGCAACCTCGCCTGACCCCAGACCCGGGTGCCAAGCCGCTTTCGCTCTCAGGGCTGAACTCCATGTTGGAGAAGCTCCGGAGAGGTTTCGGGGCATGTACTGCATAACCGCGGGGGCCACTCCAGAGAAGGCCCGTCTCCAGGTAACCACCCTCCTGATCTTTTTCAGGGAGGGCTCCCGAAGGAGGGCCCCCACCCCAGATCTCAAGGGGCGGGAAGGCATATGCTCAACTCTAGGCCCCCTTCTGTGCGGAGCCCCGGAGGGCGCGAGAGGCGGCCTGGCCCGGGGCTCTGAAGGGCGCCCGAGCGTCACACGTGGCTTTTCCGCACCCCACACCTACCCGCTGCTCAGGATCCAGGAAGACCTGGGTATAAAACAGCTGGTCGCTGTCGCTGTCCAAGCCCTGCCAGCCTGCCACGAGCTTGTGCAGATAGGGGGCATAGCCCACGAATCCTGCAGGAAGAGGACGAGGAGGGTATTTTGCTGTCAAAGATCCCCCCCAAAGAAGCCCCCCACAAAACCGGTTTAAATATTTAAAGGCAACGGCTGTCGTTTCTCACAAATGAGACATATAAATACAGTTTCTATCGGTCGCTGTGATTTTCCCCGGGGTACAAATCTTCTTCTGAGCTGCACAGAAAGCTTTAGCAAGAGGGAGCATTTCTATAGCAATGCAGCCATGAAAAAAACGGATTTGCTATTCTCTCTGCAAGGGTACAAGGCTAGAAAAATCAAGCGTGGATGCTTTAGGGCGCTTGCAGGAGGCCTGCACGGAATTCCCAGGCCTAGCTTTCATGGAATCAACACCGAAGCAAGTTTACGGATCTCACGATCATGAAATGGACAACATGTACTGGCTTATCCTGCCAGAGAGTCTCAAACCGTAGGGAATCTGGAGGGATCCCCATGAAGATAGAGGCCAAATCTGAGTCCCACCCCCTTTTCCAGACTGCTCTGCATTCAAGCCGTCGGCCTCAACCTTCTTTCCAAACCACTGGCCAAACTCTTGTCTCCTGCTTACCTCCGGATCCAAGGAATCGTTTCCCTTCTTGGACCTGAGGGTACTTGGCTTCCAACCTTCGATCAGGGTAAATGAACGTCTCCGACGAAAAGACAATTTTGGCCTTGGCCTGCCTGAATTTCTTCAGGAGCTCAGCAGGTCGTGAAGCGAAGATGACATCATAGCTACAGTGGGGAGAACAGGAGAAAAGGGGGTGCCGGAGAAAAAGAAGGGGAGAGACACACCGGATCCCCACTGAGGATAAACACAACATTTAGTACAACCTTCTCCGACCTGCTGCCAGATGCAGACTTCAAATCCCATCATGCTCAACCATCACAGGACTAAGGGAGGTCATAGTCCAGCATGTCTGAGAGGCAGCAGCTTGGGAAAATCGTTGTGTGACACAGATCGCCAATTCGGTGTCCTTCCCGCAGACTCCCATCCTGACACCCACTCTGCCCTCCCTCTCCTGATTTTTAGTTTATTTATTAAGAATTGATGTTGTCGGGGTTCAAAATCACGGCTTTCTATTTTGGGGCTCACACACAAACCCCACACTTTTGCCTTGTATTTTAGTCCCTAGCAAGTTTCTTTGTGTCTCACCGGTTCAGCTTCGGGAGAGAGATTTAATGAACGGGCAAGGCCTGGCTTCCGCAGCCATCCTGTCCAAAGGTCCACCAACCCCCCCCCCCGATATCCCGCACGTGGCCCCCACCCAAAAGGCCCGCGCAGTCTCACCTGTCTGTGAAAAGGATGACCAGATCTTCTTCGTCCGCGTATTCTTCCAAAGCCGACTTCAGGAGACGGATCTTCTGCCCGCCTCCGGCCGACTTTTCATCATCTCCTCCGTGCCACTCTTGCCCTGATCCCAGCACCTAAGGCAGATGTGCAGTGAGTTTCTGTTTCCAAAGTGTTGGTGTTTATCTATTTTAAAATAGGCAAAGGGAGTCATGGACATTTACGAAAATCCCAAGCCGAGAACGGCTGCTTAGCCTTCCATAGGAGAGCTAAAACATAGTCCCCGGACCCAGCAGCTGAGCGCCGGTTTGTAATGAAGCCTTCCTCATTTTCATTTTGGCAAGTTAGTGTCTCCAAGTTTCAAACTGTTCCCAAAAAGGAAACTAAAGTCCACCATGGGAAAGGAAAACTCCCCATGTACTGGTGTTAATACATGCGGGTATTAATACAACGTATGCTGTTGTTAATAGAATCTTGTCTACAGAAATAAAAGAAATTGTTTGTGTCCGTGTCGGTGCTTCTGACAGTACCACTGCTGAAATGTGGAATACAGAAACGGGTATGACGAGTTGCTTTGCTTTTCGGTGTATTAGGTATAGATGAAATTGAGCTCATTTGAATGTGACCGAGGGGCTGAAACCCGAAGTAACTTCTTCAGCTATGAACTGGAAGCCTTTCCTGACCAGCATGGAAGCCGGCTGGCCCAACCCGGGGGAGACCAGCAGGCCGAGAGGCAGCTACAAGCTGCCCCCTTCCCACTGCTGCAAGGAAGCCCCCAGGGGAACGGGGCAGGGGGACCCTTCCCACCGGCTTCTGCACCGTGGTCAGTTCGGGCACCCTCAGCCAAGCGTGGCCGAGTCTTGACCGTCAGGTTGCGCCTCGAGGCTCCCCGAACGCACGGAAGGTTGCGTCCTTTCACTGGCCGAATAGAAATCAAAATAAAAACCGGGCCCCTTATGCCCCACGCTGTATCTGCCATGTTTCCCCACAGCCCTTGACGCAAGACCTGCTTCAGAATGTGTGAAGGCGTGTTGGGATTAGACGTGGCGGGGACGGGGCAGATTTATTTTGGCGTAAGTCCCCCTCAGGCCACCTGCTGACGTCACCTTCAGGGTGTAGTTGAAGAACTGAGCTGATCTTTGGAACCGCCTGAATCCTTCCGTCTCCTTGGTGGCCACAGTGAAAACCAATAAATTATCTGCGGGGAGAAGAAAGCACAAGGGAAATGAAAATGCCGTCAAGGCCTTCTCTAGAACGGGTCCTGGGATGGCCCAGCTCGCCCGAGTGCCAGCCGTGAAGGCAATTTAGAGTGGCGGCAGAGACGGCGGCTTCTCAGTGGTGGCCCCCGTTTAGGGAACGCTCTTCCCACGGAGCTCCTCCTGCACCAGCTCTTCTCTAAGGCATGTCATGACGCTGAGTGGCGCCGGGTGGCAGGACGGGAGCAGCCGTGTTCCTTTAAGAGGCCGAGTTGCTACTGAAATTGCTTTCAGCCCGGAGGCTGTTTTTTCACGTTGCTTAGTGCAATGCTGTACGTGGTATTATATTATATTAGTGCACCATGTATTTCTGTGTTATCCTGAGCTACCCAGACAGCTTTGGCTGTTGGACTGCATATACGGGAAACAACATCTCCCCATCAGCATATTCCGCCCGACTCCAAAGCGGGTTCTGGTGGATCCCACACGCGGCTGACCCCTGCGACCCGTTTACAAAAAGTGACCTTCTGGAATTTATCAGAAGCAAGAGGCTGTGGCATCAAAGGTTTTCAGCAAGGGCTAAGAAAGGAAACAAAGCAACGCAGGAAACGCCGGACAAGGAGGATTTAGATGCTGCCCATCTCCTCGTCTGTGAAGTTCTGACTTGGACTGAGCGAGAGGAACGAAGTGTCCCTTGGCTACGGTTTCACAGAGGGAAAGAAACCTCCGCGTCAAGCTGGGCCTTAGTGTTTACTTTTCCTGCCTTCAAGCAAGTGGAACCGACCGAGGATTCTGGCCTGAGATTTGGGTACTACGGGGTTGTTTTGTCTCCCGTGGCTTGCATTTTCGAGCAGGCAAGCAAGCTGTGTGTTGCAGAGGAAATCTGGACAGAATAGCTAATGCAGTTCAGGTCCATCGCAACTGTTCTCTCCCATCCCATCCCCTTTCAGGCCTGGAAAATCCAGAAAGCTTCATTTGGTGTCCAACAAGGTAACTGCAGGCACTCGCTTGATGCCCACTTTTTAAGGACTTAAAAAAAAAATCTTAACGGTGAGGCTAGCTGGTTGAAAAGCAAAATACTGACCTTCAAAGCTACCCTCATCGCCGCTAATACTTCTGGGCCTGACCCGGGGTAAATATGGGATTTGGACCTCAGAGCTTATGCCGTTCCTTGGCCAGCTACTTGTCTCTGAGTCTCCTGAGTTTATCTTCTGGGATATGGGGAGCTTAGGACTAAGCACACCCGTCGTGGCAGCTATTTCGTCCATGGACAGACTGTCCCGTGGCAGCTATTTTGTGAAAGGGCTCACAACCCCCTTTCAGCATTCAAAATGCACCCAAAGGTTGGAGACCCCGACTATAAATCATCAGGGCTTCAAAAACAGCAGGCCAGTGTTGTCTTTGCAACGATGAGGGTCTACGTTCCAATTGTATGAGGAGGGGGGCTGCAGAAGCTTTACCAAGGCATGTGAGGTTCCATAACCAGGCAGATAAAGGGATGAAAACTTGTGGTGGAGAGAAAGAGGCCCTCCAAACTCGGCCATTTGTAAGAAGAGCAAAAAAACCGCAGGGGCACAATTAAGGGACAGCTGCAGGGAAGGATCGGTAAACTTTGCAACTGCCACGGACGCTCTCAAAGTGCTTTAATCCCTCCCGTTGGATTTCGTCCACATTCCTGAAAGCTCCGGCGATCCGGTTACTGGCCGTTTCCGGAGTTCGACAGAGCTCACTCTCCGTTCAGGCACCGTACTCCTCCCGAGCGTCCACTTAGGATCCCTGGAGGTCAGGACAACATGTCCAGACGCTGTGCCAACAGAACATCTGGTGTGCGAATCAGGGGGCTCAGTGACACCGGACGTGCCAAGTTGGGCCCACAGGAAAACACCGCTGTGTTGTATTTCCACGTGTGCCAGCGCACGCGTGCCCATTTTTCATAGCTGCTAACCTCACCAATTGCCCACTAGTTTCTCAGAACTATCTGCTCCTGGAAGGAAGCGGAACAGTAGCCTAAGTGGACTTCTGATTTTATGGAGTGGTTCTCACGTTCTTGCAATACGGGTCTCAGCCACCTGCCTCTCTTCCTCTGCGAGGGGAAATGATTTATAGCAGCTTTAAACTGATCACAAATCCTGGCCTGGAGTCATTTCGGGGCCACGTGAACCCCCGCTCAAACCAACTTTGAAAGTTGTGCCAAGCATAACAGGAGATGAGCTCCGTAGCGTCCCCGATAGACAGATGGGAGTATCATATTTCTGCATCAAAGGGAAGGTCTCACTACCAACACTGCCAGAGGTCCTGGAATGAGGAAACACCAGCAGAAAAGAAGACGCTGCCCAGCCATGCAGCTCTTTCCTTGGATATCTGTGTCCAGGCAGAGCATGGTCTGTGTACCTATGTGCACGGGGATGAGGGGAGATTTATACATTCTGTAGAGAGCTCGGTTTGTTTGAGAAAAAGGTTTTAAAAGCACCATGTTGTGGCAAACCTTGGTGGCGGCAGGCAACTTGCTTCTCTCCAAAATTGGAAGCCCTTCCGCGGCGTACGTGAAGAGCGTGATTTCTGAGGAGGTGGAAATGGGTAACCCAGCAATGGCTGAGACACGTGTGAAAAATCACCTTACAAATCTAACATCAACCAGAACAGAATCTTTCCCACAGAACCACCGAACTGAAATCGAATCTCCCTTGGCTTTCAGCCAGCGTAGCCAGAGCATTTTTTGTGCTTGCCAGAAGTTTTCAAATATTTTTACAACCTTCATTCGGGACAGCAACTCCACATTCCCTGCGGGGAAACGGGGGGGGGGGGGTCCTTCCCAAAACTGCTGCCAAATAAGAAAAGGATGGCTGGGAGGTGGATTTTGGCCCTCGTCTTCAGCTGAGATCCCCAGCTGGATGGGTGGGGAGGGAGGGTCCCATCTGCTCAAGGGCCCAGACACCCCATTGGCTGCAGGCGTCGGACATTAAAATTTGGAGCATGAATGCCCATTGGAAAGGCATGTGTGGGAGGAAGAGAAGACCCGTCCTTCGAGCGCCACGGGATCATCTGGCTTCCACCCCCAGCTCTTAAGGCACAACTCTTCTGCATCTCCCCCGAGCACATCCAAGAACATGTCCCCAAAGATTTCCGAAAGAACTTATGTCCAGGACTTAGACTGGACAGGACGGAAATGCAGAGCCACCCACGGAGTCCAGCTTGACCACCGCAGAATAAGCAGGCAGGGAAAGTGCAGTTAAGAGGGAGGGAGGGAGGGAGGATGGAGATGGGGCAGGCTGAACTGCCCCCCGTCCCACCTTACCTTTAGGCTGCTGGGCAGCTTCGCTTGCCTGGGTCGCCAGGAACAGCAGCAGCAGCGGCAGCAGCTGAACGCGGAGGGGCATCGTGAGCAGTGTTTCCTGCAAGCGCTCTCTGGCTTCCTTCGCTCACAAAAGCAGCTTTTTGGGAGACCCGGAGGCAGCTGGGAGCTCCATGCAAGTCCCTCCCGCGTCTGGGGGCTGCTGTGCCACGCAATAAACCCGCCCCTCATGGGGGCTCCTCCTCTCTCCCCCACGCCTCCCATTCCTCGCCCCGGAACATCCAGCACGGAGACACCGAGCCCAAACGGACGATCTCCGGATACAGAAGGCTCATTAACCGATCCTAAAAAGAGGAGGAGGAGGAGGCGGCAGGATTAAACTCGAAGACACGAACTTCTGGCTGCAGCATTTTGCCTTTAACTCGTTTCTTTTGGGGTATGAGATGCTCACACAGGTTTCGGAACGTGGGTGCGTGCACATGTATGCACAGTGGACCTGAGAGAAGACGCCCATGATGGGGGCACTTCATGCGCAGAGCAGAGAGCAGGCGACTTTGTGAGAAGCAGCGACCCTCACAAAGTCGCCTAAGAGAAACACGCCAGAAAGACCTAACTGTACAACTGCCCACCCCATGTTCCCCAGCAACTGGTCTAGGGAGGCACACTGCGGCTGAGAAGGCCCTCCTCCTTTTTATTTTCATTTTTCGGAAAACAAAACAACTATAGCAAACAGAGCAAGCTAAAGTAGACAAGGTTGCCAAGGGAACTGGACGCAGATCCAACCTGTACCATCGGCCCCTGAAATCTATCCCTCTCCCTCTCTTTCACCTCATGAAGTGCAGCACAAAAGAAACCATTCATCTATACAAAAACAAAACCTCCAGTAACTTCAGACCCTCCGCAGCTTTCTCCATCTTTTCTAAACACCTCAGATCCACTCATCTTGCCGCACGTTTCTCTCACAATCTTCCAAGTGCTCCACCAGTCAATTTTTCCATTCTTCAATTGGGGGGGTCCAATTATCTCCACCCAGAAACAAGTGCCATTCTAATTCTGGCATATTCCCCAAAAGGTGCTCTGACATTCTATTTTTAAAACTCATGAGAAACTGCTTTAAAAGAAGGACCTTCTCTTATCTGTCCCTGAATCTCCTGCCACACAGCATTACAGGATGAAAAAACGTTATTATATTCTATTTACAACCCACTATTTTCTTCTGGCTGAGAGGGAGGGTCTGGCCCAAAGTCACCCACTGGGATTCAAGCTCAGGTGGGGACTGGACCTCAGTTCGACAGTCTCAGCTTTTCTCAAAGTGGTGAAAGGGGGAGACGGGCCATCAAAGCATAATTTGACCTCGAAATACATATAGACAGGTAAGCCATCATCTCTCACCTCTACAGGTAATGCTTTGGAGATGGCAACTCTGTCCCAGCTTGTATGATTTTGGTAAAAAAAAAATCTGAAACACAGAAGTCTTTAACGGCCACATCTGTGTATCGGTGCGGGATGCCCAAAGTCCATGGCTTGCCCACATCGAGAAAACTACTCTGGATTAATCCAGGATTGTCAACTGCCATTCTTGGGTGATCTGTAGGGTTGTTAAGCTTGGGCCAGAAGTTGCTGTTCATTCAAAACAATAGAAAGCTCTGTAGAAAAAAAATATCCAAAGCGCTTAGGCATTTCATGATATCAAGCAGAAAATTACCGGTCTAGAGTACACTTCCAGGTAGATGGAAAACTGGCCCAGATCACCCGGGAATCATGAGACTATTTTGCCGCTTCTAAACATGCACCGGATGGAAATGCTAACCAAGCAAACAGCAAAAAGATGTTTTTCCTGAGCGGTATCAAAATACGTAACAGCGCACAAGTTTGCCCTCGCACTTGTTAATTAGTAAGGCATTAATTCCTTAAGAGGACTAGAGCCCCTCCGGCCCGGCAACGCTGACTGCGCTGGCAGGGCGAACGGGGGCGCTGGGCGGGCCCGGGCCCGGGCCCTGCGGAGGAGGCCGCCGGCGAGGCATCCGCTGCGGGCAGCGCCCTCTACCGAGCGCCAGCCGGGCCTGGATCTCGCGAGCGCTCGGCCCCGAGGCCCGCGCAAGGGGGACGCGCTCTGCGCGCGCTCAGGAGCACCTCGCCCGGGGGCGGGGCGGGGCGGGGCGGGGCGGGAGGGAGCGGAGGGGAGCCCCGCCCCGGCCGCCCCGCGGAGGGCAG